CCCCGACTCCAGCATCGTCTACCTGTGCGGCAAGGTACCCGGGGCCTGAGCCCGCGGGCTCTCCGGGCGGCTCCTGCTTGCTGGCACGCGTTCCTCTCGCCGGGCACCAGCCCCGCGCCAGCCAGCGCGCAGGGGTCCTGGCCCCTGGCCCGCAGCTGATGCCTGGCCCTTCCCTCCTCCCCCGCGGGCAGGGGGACAGCAGCATCCGGTACTTCGAGATCACGGACGAGCCGCCCTACGTGCACTACCTGAGCACCTACAGCAGCAAGGAGCCGCAGCGCGGCATGGGCTTCATGCCCAAGAGGGGCCTGGATGTCAGCAAGTGCGAGATCGCCCGGTGAGCGGGGCGCGTGGTGGCGGGACCCCTCACCCCCACAGCACGCGGGCACTGCCTGGGCACAGGCCCCCGTGCACGTCCCTGTCACCATGCCCAGCCTGCACCCGCGTGTCTGCCGTGGGGCGCTGGGCTGCGGGGCTCCCGGCAGGGACGGGGTGCCCTGCGAGGCGGCTGCACCCACAGCTGCACCCGCTCCCCGCGCAGGTTCTTCAAGCTGCACGAGCGGAAGTGTGAGCCCATTGCCATGACGGTGCCACGCAAGGTGAGTGGCGCGGGCGCCTGCCGTGCCCAGTCCTGGGTCCCCAGGTGGGGCGGTGCGGCGGGGCCTGGCTGTCCCGTCACGGGCCGTGGCCGGCTTCCCCGCAGTCCGACCTGTTCCAAGACGACCTGTACCCCGACACGCCGGGCCCCGAGCCTGCGCTGGAGGCGGACGAGTGGCTTTCGGGGAAGGACGCGGAGCCCATCCTCGTCTCGCTGCGCGATGGCTACGTGCCCGTCAAGAACCGCGAGCTCAAGGTGGTCAGGAAGAACGTCCTGGACAACCGGCCACCGCTGGGGCCGCGCCGCAGCCAGTCCTCCTGCGACGCCAACTTCTCGGTGAGTGCCCGGGCCGTGCCGCGGGGGCCCTATCGCCCACCCGGGCTTGGGGGGCGGCTCCGGGCTCTGTGCGGGGCTGCTCCTCCACGGACACTTCGGAGGTGAGCGCCTGATGGGTGGAAGGGGAGGCCCGGTGCCTGCCATGCCACGGCCTTGGTGCTGACGGGCACGCTCCCCCCTGCAGCGCCTGACGCTGGAGGAACTGCTGGAGGAGATCCGGGCGCTGCGACAGGCCGTCCAGGCCCAGGAGAAGCGCATCTCTGAGCTGGAGCACAAGCTGGGCCAGTTCACCAACGGCACGGACTAGCGGCCCCCGCCCCGCGGCCGGCCAGGACTGGGCCCAGCCCTGCTGACGGGATTAAAACCCAAGCCCGAGCGGGGAAGCTGAGCCGTGTTCTTTCCCGGGGCTGCGGGGGCGCGTGCCCTCGGCCACCCCGGTACCGCTCCCCGCCGCGGCCCCCGGCGAGACACGGCCGTGCCCTGCGATGGACTGCGATGGAGCCCTGTGCTCCAGGGGCTCCCGAGGGCTCGCCTCCCCCCCGCGGGGTGTGGGGTGCAGGACGGGTCCCTAGGCCAGGGGCCGGGTGCTTGCAGGGAAAGGCCTCAGTTTGCTCCGTGGGGCAGGGGCGCTGTGCTGTGCTGTGCTGTGCTGTGCTGCGCGTGCTGGGGTCCAGCCCCCGGGGGCAGACAGCCTGGGGCCAGCTCGGCCCGGGTGGCAGGAGTGGCTCTGAGGGCACCGGACCTCATGGGCAGAGCCAGCGACTTAGGGACCCAGCTGGGGTCCGGGGGGTCCATGGGGGGCAGGGGCCGGGCTGACGGGCCAGGCCAGCCGTGGGCGTGGGGGTGTCCTCGGGGCACCTGTGACCTCAGGGCCAGTCAGGGGCATCTCGCTGCCCGGGGTGGGGGTGCCCGCAGGCAGGGCGCTGAGCCCCACTGGGGATGCAGCGAGCTTAGGGAGCGCTCGAGGCTGCATCCATCCACCCCCTCAGCAGCTCCACGGCCCCCGCTAATAAACGGCTAAACGCTCCGACTGCGCCTGCCTGGTCCGTGCCCAAGCGTGGGGGGCATCGGGGCCAGAGCCACCTGCAACCCCTGCTCTGAGCTGCCCCGTGGGGCCGACGCGGCCCAGGGGCTTCGGGAGCCGACGGGAGCCCAGCAGCCGCTGCCTCCCTGCTCCCCCAAGGTGTCCCCGCTCCCCGCGGCCATGGAGGGGGCCGGTTCTGGCCTCTCCCCCCCGCCCAGCCTGGCGAGACCATGAGCCCGGCACAAGAGCCACGGGAAAGACAGTTTATTGGTGACCGCCGGGGCCTGCTCTCGCTGCCGAGCATCCCGGCCTGCGCATGGTGCGGGGCGGGGGTGGTCGTGGTCAGTTAAGAAAAGTCCCTGCCCCAGCATGGCCCCCCAGGACCCGCACCCCTGCCCCGGCTCCCCGCAGGGCTCACGGCCCCCGGGCCCAGCAGCCTCCGAGCCGGCCCCGGCCCGTGGGGCGTTTGTGGGAGTTAGCACCATTTGACGTAGGGTTATCGGGGGGTGTGCTGCCGCGGGGGCCTGGGGGGATGCTGGGCAGTGTGGGGGAGCCCCTGGGGGCAGAGGACGGGGCACCCCAGAGACTCCAGCCCCGCCACTGCCCAGGGTGCCCTCAGCACCTCCTGCCCCTGCCATGCCCCGCTGGGCTGCCCCTGGGACGGCGGGTGATGGCTGGCCTGGGCACCGCTCCTGGGCAGTGGTGGCTCCCTCGGCCGGGGCCGTGCCCGGCAGGGCTGGTGGCTCCTGGGTAAGTGCACTTGATGCTGTTGGAGCGGCTGTGTTGGGGGACGCCGGTGGCATGGGGTGGCCCCAGGCCTCACACCCTCCCCCTGCGCCAGGCTGGGCTGGGGGCCGTGGGCTCAGTGCACAGTAAGTGGCCGGGGGGATGGCACCCCGGGGCATCCCTGCCCCGAGAGCCAGTGTGCTGTAGGGTGCAGGGGTGAGCGGGCCTGCCGGGGCCCCAGCTGGCAGCTGCCGGGGAGAGAAGCCCCTGCCCATACAGCGCAGGAGAGTCGGGCCTGCAGCCCCCTGGGCTCCCCCTTAGTTGCCCTGAGCACCAGGGTATGCCCCGCTCCCCGCTGCGTCCTGCCTCCCCGGGCCAGGAGCAGCTCCGGGAGCTGAACCCGGCCTGGCCCTGACTGTTCCCGTCCCCTGCAAACCCAGCAGGACCCACCCCAGCTGGGCGGGGGGCTCTGGGACCAGCACCGCGCCCTGCATGTGCACGGGGGGCCGGGCCAGAGCCGAGCCCCAGCGTCCCCCACCCGCTGTCCTGCCGGTGTGGTCCCCGCGTGGCTCAGTGTGCTGTCGGGCCAGCCCCCGTCTCGTCCACCCGCCGCGGCGCAGCGTGGGGGCCCCCGTGCCCCGTTCTGGGTGGGCCGGGCAGGAGCGGGTGACCCCGCCGCCGGCGCGGGGCTACTGCTCGGTGAGCGAGAGCTGCAGGATGCGCCGCAGCTCCTCCTCCTCCTGCCGCGTGCGCCGCTCGGCCTCCTCCTGCTCCCGCGCCGACAGCTCCATGGCCAGGCGCAACTGCTTTTCGTAGCTGCCCAGCGCCGGGCTGGGTCCTCCGCCACCCCCGCTCGCCGGCGGTGGCGGCTGGGGGGGGGGTGGGC